ATATTGTATGAAAAATATTAGATATTAGATATTTTTGATCTCTTGAATGACTCCAATACTCGACAGACCGTTAACTTAACCATAAGTTTGTTTTATTTTTTTGGTGAAATAAGTTAACAATAATAATTGTAATGAAACAAAGAAGTAAAACTGTATTTGTTGTATATTTTCGTTGATTGCAATGAAAATCTATGGGAAAGTGGTTTTACATGTGATTTGTTAAGGAAAAATCACAACACGTTTTGCTGAGATTAAAAGTGTCCGAAAAAATCCCTCTAATTGTTATTAATTAGTTGTAAATAAAAAGTTTTTATATAAAAGTGAAAGTTTTAATATTAAAAAAGTGATTATATTTTATATAAATAACAATTATTTAATAATATATAATTCAGACATGTTTTTCCCCGTTATATTAATTTAACATCAAATGTAATAATAAATGTAAATATATTTAAATCAATAGACGACTGGTTTTGTTATCAAAAAAAGTGTTTGCGATTCAAAGCCCATAACGAGTCAAAAGCAGTCAATGATTTCTCAAACAAAACTTATCACAAAATGAATTGAGTTTTAATGTAAACTAAACCAAAATTTTCTCTTCAAATGTGCAAAACAGTCGCCGAAAACAACTGATAAAAAACTTTTTGATTATTGAAAACAAAAAACTTTGTATTCAAAAAATCACTGATCACTCGAACTGATCCGCCGAAGAACACCACAACAATGTCCGACAACCTATTGAAGGATGCGCTTGTGTTTGTGTTCATGTTTTTCACCAGGATCATTGTCACCGCATACACTTACGCCACACTTCCCGTCTACTATGTGTGCCAAAAGCCGTGGCAACGACTGGCCGTCGCTAACCGCTGCGGCGGTCACCAAACGGATCCGACGGACCCGTACTCGGAGTGGGAGCGCGAGATTGAGATACCACAGCATCCGCTCATGTCGTGTCAGACGGTGTGCGAAGCCATCGACAAAGTCCGAGAGTTGTATCCGTTGGACAAACCGTCGGTCGGCTATCGGGAAGTGTTGGCCGAAGAGGTGCAGTGCGATCGCGACGGACGGCCCATCAAAATGGACGGCAAAGTGTTGCGAAAGTATCGCCTCAGCGACTATAAGTGGCTAACACTGGGACAAGTGTGCGACCGGATTGACCACATTTCGCGCGGCCTTATGGACGCCGGTCTCCAGAAGGGCGATCGGGTGGCCATCTATGCCGAGACCGGTGTCCAGTGGTTTCTCATGAGCGGCGCGATCGCCAAAATGGGCGGCGTTTTGGTCACAGTTTTTCATACGCTCAGCGATGAGGGACTCGTTCACGCCCTCCAAGAGACCGAAGTGACAGCACTGGTGACCAGTTTTGAGTTGATTACCCGCGTGTCCGCACTGTCCGTTCAATTGCCACTTCTTAAGACTGTTGTCTACTTTGAAGGTTTGTTTGTTTGGTATTTGTTTAACAATTGATTTGTTTTTGTGGTGTCTTTTTAGGGCCGAAGAAAGAGCTAAACTATACCTTCAGAGACAGTATTAAAGTATTATCGTTGAGCGAATTGGAGGCCAACGGCAGAGACAATGGACACAAGTATACGATCACGTCGTTAGATCCGGACGCCGAGTGTATGGTATGGACACTAACCCCTGCCCTCTCCTCCCATTCCCTATCCATACATCTGGCAATTAATTATCACAATTAAAACCCATAATAACCCACAGATAATGTACACGTCGGGCACCAGTGGTCTGCCAAAGGGTGTGATCGGCACATCCCGGCAGCTGAAGGAGGCGGCGATGGCTATGGGCCAAGTGGTCAGGAATGTGATAATGGACGGCCCGACACACACCTACATCGCTTACCTGCCACAGGCGCACATACTGGAGGCCACGATCGAGGTGTTTCTGTACTTGGGTGGTGTCCGCATTGGTTTCGCCACACCATTCACGCTCAATGAGTCGGCCCCCGGTCTGGCCGACGGCACCGTATGTGATATACAGCTACTCCGGCCCACTATTATGACTACCGTTCCCCTCGTGTTGGACCGCATCCGTAAGGAGATGTACGCCAAACTGGCCGCCCGTACGCCTGTGTCCACCGCTATATTTAATTATCTCATCGATTATAAGTCACATTGGATTCAAAAGGGTATCACTTTTGCTAATTTTGTGCCTTTTTTGCTATTTTTGTGTTAATTTTATATTTTAGAAACTTTTTAATCTGGAGTTCACTGACATCTCTCTCCCTATCGTTAAATTCATTTACTATTTTTGGGAAATGTTTTAGTTTTTGTATAAAAAATATTTTATGTCTTAATATAACTCTTCTCTCCTATCGCTTCCCATTTCTCCCAATGTTTTCACTGCAAAAAAATAACACAAATTAATAGCAAATTTAGTTTCATTTACTTTTCAATCAATCAAATCAAACAAAACATTTTCTTCCTATCAATCATTGACCCAATTATGGCATAAAAACAATACTTTCTATTCATAGATAAGTTTTATAGAAAATATACAAACAATTGTAAGAAAAGTTATCGAAAAACATTCTTATTGTTTGATTTAATTCAATAATTAATAACACTTTCTCTATAATTGTAATGTAATTAAAATGTTTAGCACTTTCTTCTCAGTGCAGACAAATTATCACAATTTTTATATCTCATTAACACAGGCTATAAGACTCCGATTGTCAATACATTAGTTTGCGGTAAAGTTAGGCAACAATTGGGCGGAAAGTTACAGTATATGGTGGTCGGCAGCGCACCCCTCTCTCCACAACTACAGGCGCTCATTAGGTGAGTTCACTGACATCTCTCTCCCTATCGTTAAATTCATTTACTATTTTTGGGAAATGTTTTAGTTTTTGTATAAAAAATATTTTATGTCTTAATATAACTCTTCTCTCCTATCGCTTCCCATTTCTCTCCCAATGTTTTCACTGCAAAAAATAACACAAATTAATAGCAAATTTAGTTTCAATCAATCAAATCAAACAAAACATTTTCTTCCTATCAATCATTGACCCAATTATGGCATAAAAACAATACTTTCTATTCATAGATAAGTTTTATAACAAAAAATACAAACAATTGTAAGAAAAGCAATTGACAAAACTTTTATTGTTTGATTTAATTCAATAATTAATAACACTTTCTCTATAATTGTAATGTAATTAAAATGTTTAGCACTTTCTTTTCAGTGCAAACAAATTATCACAATTTTATATCTCATTAACACATAGGCTATAAGACTCCGATTGTCAATACATTAGTTTGCGGTAAAGTTAGGCAACAATTGGGCGGAAAGTTACAGTATATGGTGGTCGGCAGCGCACCCCTCTCTCCACAACTACAGGCGCTCATTAGG